CCGCGAGGCGCAGCAACCAAACGGAAATCGTCACGTCGAGAAGGCAGGGTTCATGGACACAACTCGATTGTCAAATCGTCATGTTTTTTTTTGTTTTATGGGGGGTCTGAAGACGTCTTGCCGACTCCCCGAGCCGCGCACTGGAGGCGCGGGGTGTTTTGGCGCGTGCTGGGGGCCATCTGGGCCCGAGTCTATCCGCGCGCCGTTTGTCTGACAACAACGCAGGCCCTCAGAAGGAGGGCCATGCGACGCCGCAGGCCCCGGCCGGTCCTGCCAGAGGCGACGATGCCAGGGCATTCGGGGCACGACATTGGCGCGCGCGCCAAACCCGCCCAAAACACAACGGCTCGCACACACCAAGAACCATCTACGCCAAACCCGCTGGATTGGCATGTGCCATTCACCACATAAAAGGACAAATGCGCGCACACACCGAAAATGATACACGAATGCCTGGCCGCGGTGCCCCCGTCAGGGGCAGGGTCGGCCGGGCTCAGTAGCAGCGAGGAGGCACGAATCGGTGAACCTTCAGATCGAAAGGCCTTGGCTCCCAGGGGGCTCCCGGGGGTTCCCAGGGCGCCCCGGGGCTTCTCGCGCGGCGGTTGGGCCCGGCGAGACTGCGCCGGGGGAAGTCGGGCCCCGCCGCGGCCACAATGGGCGCCCATGACAAGCGACTTTCGGATATCTGGAGGCGTCGACGAACCGCTGCTAGAGATCCTGGAAAGTTGGGCCCCCCACGGCACAGCTGCCCCGAAATCGCAGCACGGGGTCGCGAGGCAGGGGCGCGCCGGCGAGACGGGGGAGGGTGTCTGGAGGAACCGATCCCCTACGGCAATAGAACTGTTTGCGGCAATAGCAGCGACGTTTCCAATCTCGTTCCTCCCACTCATCCTCTTCCTCTTCTCGCCGTCGATATACTGCCTCGCCCTCTCCTGTCATCTCCCCCCTCGTCGCCCTTTATCTCAAATCCATATCTTTCTGTTCGCCCACCCTGCCCTCGTTGCCGATCTACGTTCGTTTCTCCCCGCCCACTCCCCCTGCCTCCCCGCCCCCCCCCCCGCTCGCCGTTCCTTCCTCCTCTGCCGACTACCCCCCCTCCCCCTTCCCTCGCAAAGCCCCCCATTTCATTCTCACTTGTCGGATGCCCTCCCCGATGGCATCCTCTCCTCTCCCCGTCTTGCCCCCCCATCATCCTCGTCGCTTCCCCCAAGTGGTCCCGGTTCCTCCGCCCCGCCATCCACGTTCGTCTGTTCGCCCCTGCCGTTCCCCCCCCCTCCTCGCGCGCGCCCCCGCCCGATCTCCCCGCCGCCGCTTCGCGCTTGCTCCATCCTCCTGCGAGCTAGCGCCGCCGCGCGACGTCTGGCACTGGAGGCGGGCCTGGAGAGGGGGAGCCAGATGCCTCGTGGCGGCGCCGGAAAAAGTGGCGGCACGCGGCGGCCCCGGCGCCGCGCCCCCGGCAATCGAAACCGCTCGCCACCGCATTATGCGGTTGCGGGAGCGGCGACGGCGATTCGACATCGCGCAGCGTCGCAATCCCGGCCGACGAAGGGGCGCGCAAACAGACTCCTCAATTGGAGTCGCGAGGTTCCGGTTGCGCGCCAGAGCGCCCGACTCGGATGTCCGGGATGTGACGAGGAAGCGACGCGCGAGCACGAGCCGAGGCTAAAGCTTCGTTTACGAGTCCTCGCGCCGGCGCAAGCGAGCGCGCTCGCGCGCGCCGCTATGCCGCCGCAGTCACGGCGCGCCAGGCACACAATGGGGTTGCCAAATTCCATCAAAGCAGGAAAATATATCTGTATAGTTGGTACCCTCAGACCCGAAGTGGCATCCAGACGGTCCCCAAGCGGGCCTCCTGGCGTAGGCCCAAATGGGCTCGTCCCCAGACATGTCCCGCAGACGGGCCCATGCGCGGTGCAGCCTGGACGGCTGAACCCTGGAGTCCCAGATCCATTCTGCGTATTTGGAGACCACCTGCATGGCGCAGCGTGGTAAGTAGGATCAGACACGTCATCGGAGTGGCTGATAAGGTCTGCCGTGACTTCCGTGGAAGAACTGCCAAGAGCCCCATTGAGCACCGCCGCGAACAGCCTCTGCTCTCCGGAGGCAGTGTCGATCACGCAGGCAACGTCGGCCCCGTGGCCAGCCGACAGGAGCGCACTTACTCCCCAGGGACGACGCACGCCGTCCGACAGCATTGCGCAGCATAGTGAAACGACGGCGCCTCACTCGAATGTGTGCGAGACGCCCCTTCCTTCTCGTGCGGAGCACACGGGGGCCAGAGAGCTCGGGACCCAAGTTTCTCATGCGAGCCTTGAAGGGGGTCACGAGCGACCCCAGGTGCTTCTAGAGGGGAATCCGTAGGTGGCGTTTCCAAGGAAGCACGCCAGACTTGGGAGGCCTTGAGGATCGTGCCGAAGCCCTTGGAGTCCTGTACGAAGCCCCTGGCGGCGATTGCCAAGTATCTGAAGTCCTCGGGGCCCTGGGAGTTGCTCTCAAGCCCCAAGTCGCCCATGAGGGTCCGAGGTGCAATCGATGGCGACGCCATCATTCGCTCTCGACACAGCCCTGAAGGTGAGGAAGTACAGCATGTAGGCAGCATGAACACAACCTGCCAGCATCCCCGGTCGGGAAGCGAAACCATAGGAGACACCCCTAAAAGCTCGCATACGCCTTGGCGGTTAATAGCACAGGATAACCATGCCGATATGTCGAGGGGGAAAACTCAAAGCATGCCCTTCGCGTAGGAGAGCATGAGTATATACCAGATTGAATCATGTGTCATGTCTAGCAATACCGCGAAGGCGTAACTCTCCAAGCAGCTCCGCCGACTTCTGCTGGAGGTTGTGATAGAAGGCCGCGTCTGTCGAAGTATGTCCACCTCGAGCCCCTGATCTCAACGCGACAGTACTGCTTCTGCCACTCGTACAAAATCGGTCGCCGCAGCTTCCCCCAAACACGCATCAAACTCTTACTGAGCGCAATAAATGTCGCGTCGCCGCCAGGTTTCGGGAGTCGAGCAAGCCCGCTGTGGATGCGATATCCAGGCCACGCCGGCCAGTTTGTCAAACGGCCTAAGATTATCCGCCAGCGCCTGCAGCGCCACATCAAACAGCACGTCCAGATGCCGAAGAGAAAGACGCGCGGGTTCTGCCGCAACGCGCGTCAAAAAAGCTGCGCACCGCAGCCCGCACCTGGTCGACAGTGACAAGTGACACGGTGGGCCATGCTGAGGCGTCTCAAGGCAGGGCCAGAGCCGCAAAACATGGTGCTGCCACACCTTGGTCCACGTATCTGTCGTCGGATCAGCAAGTTGGGAAGGTTGGAGTGCTTCGCTGTGCTTGGGGATTTCAGCCTTCGCTCGAGCCTTCGATGTGGCGCGCGCCTCGCTGGCACCACACAGAACGGCATCGCGTCCCAACTCGTTCCAGGCCTTATCCGAGGCAGCCCCGCTGGCAAAAACATGGGAACTGATCGTGCTGACGTATGGCCGCGGGCACGAGGCCCTATCTGTCACGCATTTCACTGAAATCACCACCACCACCCGAGCAAAAGACTGATCGGCCGTGAGTCCTGGCGACGATCGGTGCTCCCTGCACCTCCCGACCAGAAGACTGAATCAGTCGTCAGTCCAGAGCACGTGATCGGCCGTAGGGTGGAGAGCGTAGGGAGGAGAAGCCGGAGCGTCAGATGCTCGTTCTGGGGACCTTCCAGGAGCCACTCGCTCCACTCATGCGTCGATGCTATGACGAGCGTCCGTCGGCTTGACTCGAACTGGAGTCAGGGTTGAGTCGAACTTGTCTCGAAACAGAGTCGAACGAGAGTCGAACAGGTCCCTCAGCAGGTTCCCAGGAAGGTCCCCAAAACGAGCATCAAAGGAGCGATCCCCAACGACCCCCCGTGACTGCAGCGGTGGAGACCGACAACGAGACGACGGGCAGGACAGGGAGGCGCTGGCGCGGTGCGCACTGCACGCCGGCGGCCGTCGGCGTCGACGACGCGGGAAGGCCGAAGCCCTCCCCCCAAGACGAAGCCAGGACGAGGATGATATCTTTGGAGTCCCGAAACGATACGGTGACAGACCGCGCGGTGACCCCAAAGACCTCACCGCACGGTCCGTCAACGCACGGTCTTGGCACCTCGGGTGCCCCAGTCGCCCGAGACGTCCTCGGAGAGCGACCCGGGTCCCAAGACCGTGCGGTGACCCCGAATCCCCACCGATTCACCGCACGGTGTGGCCACCACCCCGTGTGGGGGCCCCCGAATATCCATGGAGAATCGAGGATCTCCGAGACCCAAGGCCCTGCAGGACGTCTCGGGCGCCGGGGCCTGCTCAGAGCGGCCCAGAACGCTCTGAGAAACGCTGTGAGAGCGTTCAGGAACGCCCTGAAACAAATTGTTCATCGTCCTGGCCCCGTCCGACCCCCCACCCCCGGGTCTTCAGACCGGGAAGCAACTACAGAACTGCATGCGCGTAAATTGTTCGAAGATCCGCGTGGATCTCCTGGATCGGCCATGGACCCCCCTCCCCGGCACGCGAAGCGCGGCAGGGGCGGCGCCAGAGGCGCCGCCAGGCTGGGTCCAGCGCAGATCCAAGAGATCCTCACGGACCTTCGAAAATGATGTTTATGTAAGTGCTTCTTATACGAGACTTTGGGCGCCTCCACTCCCCCCCAGACTCTATAGCGGAATGGGGGAGTGGTTCGGACCCACCCCCCGCCCCTCAAGCGCCCACCAAAGGCCTCGTTCATGCATGGACTCTCCTCCTGCCCCTGCAACATCCTGTCATTCATTTCCCAATCCCCCCTGTGTTCGCAAGCGCAGCGGGCTTCCCGGACGCAAGAAATGGTCTGGGCAGAGCATACAACAAAAATATGGTACAAACAGACCCAAGCAAATATCACTGGGGGTCGAGCTTGTCGAGGCGTCTACCGCATTGAGAAAACGACGAGATCATGTGCAACAGCACAGGGGTAACCAGCGTTTCTGCTCACCCAGGCCACCTTGGGAAGGCGCAGAGACAGCGTGTTGAGGCCCTCCACGAGGGACAGGTTGCTCATCGCCCTGGGCGCCAAGATTTTCCACCTCCTCCTCCTCCTCCTCCTCCTCCTCCCCTCCTCCTCCTCCCTCTTCTTCCTCCCTCATCCTCCTCCCTCCTCCTCCTCCCTCCTCTTCATCCCTGGTCGTGAGACTCGGGGGTTCCCGAGAAGGTGGCTCGCCGTGGTTCCCGCCCTATGATAGTTCTCCTACAGGGGCACTTTGGAAGAACAAAAAAAAATCCGCCGACCCCAGGCCAGAGGCGTGTGCGGAATCCCTTGTGCACATGCCACAAGATTCCACCCTACAAAAATCGCCCCGGGAACTTCCCACCCTGTCTCCACCACGCTCCCACCTCGTTCCCACCGCACCTGACACCGCCAGCCTCCTGCAGCCTTTGGCACTGAACTCTTCGGGCCCACCCATGCTGCAAAAATCGCCCCCCCTGCTTCCACCACGCTCTCACCAGACCACCCCATCGGAACATCTGTTCTTGGGGCCCCCCACCCGACAATTCCTGGCCCAGAACCCACCCTGACCCCCAACCTGCCTCCACCACGTCTGACATCCCCACCCCGCCAGACCACCCCAGCGGGACCTCTGTTCTTGAGGCCCCCCACCCGACAATTCCTGGCCCAGAACCCACCCTGACCGCCACCCTGCGTCCACCACGTCTGACATCCCCACCCCGCCAGACGACCCCTGTCGGGATGTCTGTTCTTGGGCCCCCCCCCCACCCGACAATTTCTGCGCCCCGGCACCCCCAGGCATCTGGAACTCTGTTCTTGGGACCCCCCCATCCGACATTTTCTGGCCTGTAACCCACCGATACCCCCCACTGCGCCCCGGCACCCCCAGGCATCTGAAACTCTGTTCTTGGGACGCCCCCACTCACCGATACCCCCCCACCGCGCCCCAGCGCCTCCAGGCCTCTCTGCTGTGTTTTTGGGGCCCCCCACCCGACAATTTCTGGCCTGATACCCCCACCGCGCCCGGGCACCCCCAGCCCTCTGGAACTCTGTTCTTGGGACCCCCAACCCGACAAGTTTTGGCCTGAAACCCACCGATACCCCCCACCGCGCCCTGGCACCCCCAGGTCTCTGGAGCTCTGTTCTTGGGACCCACCACTCGACAATCTCTGTCTTGAAACCGACTCATACCCCCCACCGTGCCCAGGCACCCCCAGGCCTCTAAAACTCCGCTCTAGGGGCCTCCCCACTCGACAATTTTTGGCCTGAAATCGGCCGTTACCCTCCACCGCGCCCTGGCACCCCCAGCCCTCTGGAACTCTGTTTTTGGGACCCCCCACCCGACAATTTCTGGCCTGAAACATATCGATACCCCCCACCGCGCCCAGGCATCCCCAGGCCTCTGGATCTCCGTTCTTGGGACCCCCCACCCGACAATTTCCGGCCCAAAACCTACCGATACCCCCCATCGCACCCTGGCACCCCCAGGCCTATGGAACTCTGTTCTTGGGACCCCCACCCAACAATTTCTCTGGCCTGAAACCTACCGATACCCCCCCCCTCCCCCACCCCCCCTCCACCGCGCCCCCGCACCCCCCTGGCCTCTGGAACTCTGTTCTTGGGAACCCCCCCCGACAATTTCTGGCCTGAAACTTACCGACACCCCCCACCGCGCCCCGGCACCCCCGGGCCTCTGGAACGCTGTTCTTGGGACCCACCAAGCAATTTCTGGCCTGAAACCCCCCGATACCCCACACCGCGCCCCGGCACCCCCAGGCCTCTGGAGCTCTGTTCTTGGGACCCACCACCCGACAATTTCTGACCTCCAACCTACCCATACTCCCAACCGCGCCCCGCGCCCCGGCACTCTCAGGTCTCTGGAACTCTGTTCTTGGGACACCACCACCCGACAAATTCGACCCTGAAACCTACCGATACCCTCTACCCCGCCCCGGCGCACCCAGGCCTCCTCTGGAACTCTGTTCCCGGGGCCCACCCACCCGGCAAATCCTGGCTTGAAACCTACCGATGCCCCACACTGCGCCCCGGCACCCCCTGGCATCTGGAACTCTGTTCTTGGGACCCCCCATCCGACATTTTCTGGCCTGTAACCCACCGATACCCCCCACTGCGCCCAGGCACCCCCAGGCCTCCGGAACTCTGTTCTTGGGACGCCCCCACCCGAGAATTTCTGGTCTGAAATCACAAATACCCCCCACCGCGCCCAGGCACCCCCAGGCCTCTGGAACTGTGTTCTTGATACCCCCCACCCGACAATTTCCGGCCTGAAACCTACCGATGCCCCCCGCCGCGCCCTGGACCCCAGACCGACAAGTTCTGGCTTGAAACCTACCGATCCCCCCCACCGCGCCCCGGCACCCCCAGGCCTCTGGAGCTCTGTTCTTGGGACCCACCACTCGACAATTTCTGCCCTGAAACCGACCGATACCCCCCACCGCGCCCAGGCACCCCCAGGCTTCTAAAACTCCGCTCTAGGGGCCCCCCACTCGACAATTGTTGGCCTGAAATCGACCGTTTACCCCCAACGCGCCCCGGCGCCACCAGCTCTCTGGAACTCTGTTCTTGGGACCACCCACCCGACAATTTCTCTGGCCTGAAACCTACCGACCCCCCCCGCCGCGCCCAGGACCCCCCGCCCGACAATCTCTCCGGCCCGAAACCTACCGATACCCCCCACCGCACCCCGGCACCCCCAGGCCTCTGGAACGCTGTTCTTGGGACCCCCCACCCGACAATCTCTAGCGCCCAACTTACCGATACCCCCTTCCGCGCCCCGGCGCCTCCAGGCGCCTGGAACTCTGTTCTCAGGACCCCCCCACCCCACAAACTCACCCGAAGCCCCCAGGCCTCTGGAACTCTGTTCGAGGAGCCTCCCCACCCGGCAACTTCTGGTCTGAAACATACCGACCCCCCCCCCCCGCGCCCCAGCACCCCCAGGCAACTGGAACTCCCTTCTTGGGACCCCCCAACCGACAGACAATTTCTCTGGCCTGAAACCGACCGAAACCCGCCACCGCGCCCCGCGCCAGACCACCCATCGGGACCTCTGTTATCGCCCCCCTTCCCCCCCCCTCCATCCGACAATTCCTGGCCCAGAACCCACCCTGACCCCCAACCTGCCTCAACCACGTCTGACATCCCCACCCCGCCAGACCACTCCAGCGGGACCTCTGTTATCGAGGCCCCCCACCCGACAATTCCTGGCCCAGAACCCACCCTGACCCCCACCCCGCCAGACCACAACATCGGGATGTCTGTTCTTGGGCCCCCCCCACCCGACAATTTCTGCGCCCCGGCGCCCTCAGGCCTCTGGAACTCTGTTCTAGGACCCCCCACCCGTCAATTTTTAGCCTCAAACCTACGGATACCCCCCACCGCGCCCCGGCACCCCCAGGCATCTGGAACTCTGTTCTTGGGGCCCCCCACCCGACAATTTCTATCCTGAAATCACCGATGCCCCCCACCGCGCCCCGGCGCCTCCAGGCCTCTGGAACTGTGTTCTTCGGACCCCCGCCCGACAATGTCTGGCCCGAAACCTACCGACGCCCCCCACCGCGCCCCGGCACCCCAAGCTCTCTGGTTCTGGGGACCCCCAAACCAACAATGTCTGGCCTGAAACCTACCGATACCCCCCACCGCGCCCCGGCACCCCCTGACCTCTGGAACTCGTTCTTGGGACCCACCACTCCTCGAGAACTTCTGCCACGAGACCGACTGATACCCCCCGCCGTGCCCAGGCACTCCCAGGCCTCTGAAACTCCGCTTTGGGGGCCCCCCCACTCCACAATTTCAAACCTGAAATCGACCATTACCCCCCACCGAGCCCCAGCACCTCCAGCCTTCTGGAACTCTGTTCTTGGGACCCCCCACCCGACAATTTCTGGCCTGAAACCCACCGATACCCCTCGGCCGAGCCCCGGCACCCCCAGGCCTCTGGCTCTCCGTTCTAGGGACCCCCCCCCGACAATTTCTGCCCTGAAACCCACCGATGCCCCCCGCCGCACCCCGGCACCCCCAGGCATCTGGAACTCTTTTCTTGGGACCCCCCACCCGACAATTTCTCTGGCCTGAAACCTGCAGATCCCCCCCCCCCCGCCACCGCGCCCTGCCGCCCCCAGGCCTCCGGAACTCTGTTCTTCGGACCCCCCGCCCGATTATCTCCGGCCTGAAACGCCTCTTCCGCCCCCCCTCAGCGGCGCACGCGCTGCACCTCTGCTTGCCATTCGGCTTTTCGCCGCGCGGTTCGAGCGCCAGCTGCTGAAGTCCACCCTGTGGAACACGCCTTTGCACGCTATGCATTTCCAGCAGCCTCGCTGCAGCACCCTGCATCGACGAAACGCTTGATCAGCCACGCCTGCCCACATGCGATTCGAAAAACATGCTCGCCGCTGCGCAACCTCGCACACCACGCATACTTTCACGACCTCCCTCGCCTCCGCGCCCCGCTGCGCGGCAGCAGCTTCGACGCACTTAGCACAGGCAACCGAGGCATCTGACGCGCGGGCCAGCATGTAAGCTGAAAACGCGCTGCTACTCTTCGAGACCCCGCGTCTGGAACACACCCGGAGCTCGGCCTTTTCGTCGCGCGCCTTCTCTTGCTTCCCCCATGTCTTCCTGCACGTTGTGCATGGCCGCTCTTCGTCATGAACGCCCCCCTCACGGAACTCCCTAGTCATCTTCTCCTCCTCTCCTCTTTGCAAAGCAACTCCTGCGACGCAAGAGATTCATAGCGCTTCACACCGACCTCACACGGTCGCCGAGGTCCCTCCAGGGACATTGCACAGAACTCCCCCGGAGGGCATTCAAGGGACAACGCGGGAAGCGGAACAAAGAGTATCCGATCGAAATCAAGCCCTAGGCCATATCGAACTCAGACCATAGGAACTGGGCAACTCCTCCTCTTCCTCCACCTCCTCCACCAGCTCCGCCGCCCAAAGGTGTCGCTTCGACACCGCCCCCTCTTGAGAATCCGGAAGCCATCTTGGAACCGCGGGAGGCCCTCTAGACCAGTCCTCTTGAGCCTTCGTTGGGCGGAAC